AAATGACGGCAATTTGCTATTGTGAAATGGTGATTTCTCGCATTTTATTTTGGCAAGCAGTGAGTTGTTCTGATCTACAAGTCACAAACGCTAGAATGGTGATTTTAGAGATGGAATGCTTAGAATTCACAGTTCTGAATGAATCTTGAACAACTGACAGTTCAAGAAAAGACTTGTGTTCTCAACATACTGCCATACCATAGCCTAGGATCTGATATGATAACCACGCTCTATAGAAGAATGAATTCTTAGCGAGCTGTTTGATTACATATATACAAATTTGGCAAGAAAATAAAAAGCGACTTAGCTCTAGATGTGAAAGATATATCGCCATCCTGGCTGATGGTATCTTAACGAAGATTAACGCAGCAGCACTGGCTTCGAAACCAGATGCTACATATGTCGCCCATCACGAAAGCATACAGTGACCGATACCCAAATGGTTACAAACTTTCCTTTCCTAATTTTGTGATTGATATTTCATCTGGAACAGGAAGAACATATGCAGCAACTACACCGACTATTCGCTGAATGTGTCACCCAGTACCAAGGTGCCGACTCTAGCATATTAACAATATTATTTGTCAATTAAGAACTTGCTACCAATCAGAATCTAATAATTAAACTAGATAACTTGAATTAGGTTCTTGTCCTTTGGTCAACCAAAAATGGAAATGTGCATATCACCCCAGACTAAACAGTTGAGTTGGAAGAATGAATCCAATCAATATCCACTTTTTCTGACCTTGGCCATCAAGGAAAACTTGATCATCTTAGCCGGGGATTTTAATCGCCACCATCTGTAGCCATTTCTACCTTTCAAGCATGGTTCACTTCTATACGTGAGGCAACGCCGCACTTGAATTTGTGCATATGAACGTTTCAGATCCATTCATTTTTCGTTGTGCAGCACCGATTGGTTTGTCAAACCACTGCATTAAAATTCGGGTGCTTCTTTATGGGTTCAGTTCGCAGCACGGTCTGAACCACAAAGTCGTTCCATATCGGGACGCGTAATCTGGCGAGGTTAAAGCGGTTTCTCACTTCCAATGTCTGGTCAGACTTGTCTAGCCACGCAGAAAGAACAGAAAACCTGAACGCTGTGATCTCACGAGTCTCAGCCGTGCTCAAGGATAATTTCGACACTTTCTGTCCCGGACAAAAGATTAAAGTTAAGGAACTCCTTATCACTCACTTCAACCCATCTTCAGCGTCTCCTCTGCTATAAATAACTTGCCTACAAAATTGGAGATCGTCAGCTATGCCGTAGCTATTCTATCAAAATTGTAAACGAAATCGAACGTCTGCACTACCTGTACAGACAAGGAACCGAGAAATATCTGAAGCCTTTGCAATACTGTGAACAGTTACATGAGATATTTAAAATCTGATTTGAATCCCGATGAACTGAACAGACACTTTATTCGCTCTAAAATTTGACTTATTCTCTCAACAGAATTTATATCATCATAGACGATTACTAAAATAGCACCTCAGGAATTTATGACAGAAGATGTCTGCATTTGCATGTCCAGCCTACTTTCAGACTTTTTGTCTAGGCCTGATGGAGTTAGTTCGTTATTGCCCAAGCAGTGTTCAGCTAAGCTATGCGGCATTCTTCAACGTATATTTAATTCCTCTGGAGGCAAACCGTCCAAATGCTTGGCATCTTGCAGCCATAACGCCAGTCTAAAAAAACGAATCCTTTTCGCAAGGACTATATGTTCATCGTTCAAGAGTACTGACCTCTACATTGAAAAAATGTTTAGAAAAGTTAATCTTGCCTCTAATCGAACAGAATTTTGTCGATAAAATAGATCTGAAGCATATAGAAAAGGAATGTGAACAAATAATGTCATTGCCTGCGTTGACATGAAATTAGAGGACGCCTCGATAGGGCGAGATCCATCGGGAGGTCAACTTTTTCTACCATTCTTCATCATTCAGCACTGTTCGCTGCGGAGTCCTTCTGCGTAAGTTAAGGAAATTCAGCATTCACGAACTAATTATTCTCCGGTTAGCCGATTAATTCTCACATCGACGCCAGTTCGTAAAGCCGAATAGTAAGAAATCCGAGCACTGGAAAACAGTCTTAGTGTAGTTCAAGGAGAGGTGATCTCATCTCTGTTTTTCAGCATGATCATTAACGACTGCACCACCAGAAGTATTCTGGCTCCGAAACCGTTAACTACTGTGGAAAACCAACCAAATTCGCGAAACTATATCAACCACTTACCTTGAATAAGGACGATGGGACATTGACCGAAACGTCGATTCTGGTCAGTCACCGGACTCGCAATACTATCTTTTGCATTATGTATTATTAAATCGTGTTTTACATCGCTATGAGTACGAACGCACGAACGAAATATTCTATTTCAGGTCACTTTTATCATTATTTAAATGCGCTTTATCGACCTAGAAAGAGACTATGGCCGGATCAAGGGCAAAACGCTATGGACGTACCTGCAAACAGATCTAATCAATGACTAGTTGCTATGAGCAATAAGGTCACCGTAACAATTGCTGTCTCTGAGAAAACGAAGTTAAGTTTCAGTCTTCTAGCATTAGCCCTGGTCTCCGCTAAGGCTGCAGAAAGTAAAAAACTTACTGGTGGACATGAGACGTACAACTGGCAATCAGTAAAAAGATGGCTGCGTATAAGAATGACTTGGAAGCATAGCCGTCGCTCGCATGTGATACGTAGAGCGTAAGTCGGGGGGCAGGCAAATCAGTGGCTAATGCCGTTGCTGTTTCTGAAAAAAGTTCGGTGAGGTGTTGGAGTCGAATTTCCAGAAGGCAAATAAGGTATTCTGGCACACCATCGCCGATTCCGAGGTGAAAAGAAGTACAGTCTAAGAATCCTGATGGATACCCTCTTACCAGGATGATGGCATTCTCTGGCGATTAAAAGACTACTTTGAGAAACTCTTTAACTCCAAGCAACCGCGGAAAGCCATGCCTGTAGAACAGCAG